GAGTGGGTCGGGGTCCTCGGGGATGCCGAGCGAGGCCCTGCTCCGGGGACCTGCGCTCTCCTCTTCGACGGCCGGGACAGTCAGCCTCTCGGGGACCTCTGCCTGCACAATTTAAGGGGTACAGTTCGGATGGCGGCCAGGCCCTTCCTTCCCCCAGCGCTCCCTACGGCCTGGGAGCCCCTCTTCTCATAGTGAGACACAAGGGTGCCCTCCTCCCCACCTTAACGGGGTCCCCGTCCGCCCAGTTTGGAAACCACAGAGAACGAGGAGCCTGTTGCCCGGCCTGTGGACTGCCAGCGTGGGAACTGAACGCAGGGCCTGGCTCCGGGACTCTTGCCAGCTTGTGCTCCCTGCCATAAATCAAGGGACCCTGAAGAGCACAGAGAAGGGAGTCACCCTGGGCGCTAGAACCCTGCTCGCTGAGGCCCCAGACAGGACCCCGCTCTGCCTCTCACCCTGAGCCCTCCCTCCCCAGGTCTCGGCTGGCCGTGGCTCCGCAGCCGGTCAGCGGTGCAGGCACAGGGCCGAGCCTGCCCTGGGCCATCAGTCTCCTCTTCAGCTTCCCCCCACCCCACCTCACCGGGGCCAGCTGCGGGGGTTACACCTGCAGAGAGCCAGGTCCTCCTCCGAATCCTCCTTCCTTATCAGAGCGGGAGTGAGGAGTGCAGGCGTCAGTCCCTGGCAAGAAGCAGGCCTGGGCGGGGGAGGACCGGCTCTGTGGGGCTGGAACATGCAATTCTGGGGCCCTCTCAGAGTAATGTGAAAAGAATTTGCTAATTTTGCAAACATGCATGACCTACCTGGTGTGTGCATTTTTTTCTCTAAGCACTTATTTATTTCATAGCATGTACCCTGACTTTTTATTTCTCCTTTGTAGGTTGTTTCATTAGGAGTGTGTGTTTGCCACCCTCAGGCATGCATTTCAGGACCCCCAACCTGCAGAGGTCCCTCTGTGGACCTCATGGTAACCCTGCCTTTCCTGCCCCCATCGGGCCCCAGGTTTGGAGCCAGGGAGAGTCCTAGGCAGACGCTGAGAAGAGGGGAAGAGGACAGGAGCTTCCTGTGGCTGGTGTTAGGACGCCTCTGGGACATCTGTGGCCTTTGGGGTGGAGAGGGGGGGTCCGCGGTCCATCCCCAGGTGCAGGTGTGGACAAGTGACCTCCACAGCCCAGGACCCGCAGGCCCCAGGGCTGCTGTCTTCCCTGCTCTCCCTCAGCCTGTGTCCCTGCCCAGCCTGGCACCTGAGGGCATGGGCAGTGGTTAAGCAGCCGATGGCCTGAACATGAAGGTTCATCTTCTGACACGCATGACCCTGTGACAGCAGAGTGAAGAGGGTGCTGAAAGTTTATCTCTTTAAAGAAATCAGACTGTCCTGAGTGTCCATGCACCCTTCCCCCTACAGTGCTGGGGTGGACTCAGGGCCTCGCGCATGGTAGGAAGTGCTCTGCCACTGAGCTACACCCCAAGTTGCTCGGGCTGTACTCAAACATGTTTGTGATCCTCCTGCCTCAGCCTCCTGCATAGCTGGGACCACAGTGCACCCTAACACCTGGATTTAAAAATTGTTCTACGCAGATATAACTCACAATGAACAAGTTTTAGTAATCAAACTAAACTAAATGCAGTGTTTTCCAAAAATTATCTATCTTTGTTCCTCTTCCTAATAAAGTGACTTAATCACTGCAAACAGAGCCTGTCTCTGGGGCCCTGCTGCTTCTCACCCCAACCCTAAGTCTCAAGGATGTGCCCTGCACCACCGGGCTGAGGCCATGCAGGGCCCCTGGGACACATGGAGACCCAAAGAAGGTCCCTCGACCTGATCAAGGACCACCCACTCCTGCTCTGCAAGTTGCTCATTCTTGGCCATCCTTCCTCCAAAGAATTTTGGAACCTCTTTATCTGTTTCCCTCCGAGTTGCATTGGAATTTAATTGCAATTTCCTTCATGGTGGATGTCAATAAGGACTTGGAGAAGGGCCGGGTCACAGGAAGGAGGGGGTGACTGCCCCCTTGTGGGTGATGGTGGTACGAAGCCCGCCGGTCCCAGGACCTCAGCTGCCTCAGCTGCCTCCCAGGCAAAAGTCCCCACTCAGGTCCGGATTCCAGCCCAAATTCCCATTCCAGAAGACGTTAGTGCAACTGTGGCCAAACGTCTGGTTCCACCTTGGGACTTGCTTGAGATAATTACTCAGTAACAACAAGGGCTCAGTCCTCAATTCCTGAACAGTCAGGGGTGTTGCACCCAAAATGGGCACATGTGAGGCCCAGGGTCCCCGCCTCCGGTTCTCCTTCACACCAGTCTCTATGTCCGTGGCCCTGGGGCAGTCAGAGCTCACAGATGGCCCAGGGTCACCTCCATTCAGGGATGGGTTTGGAGATCCACCCAGGCACAAGGTGTGGCCACGGTGCACTTACACCTGGCAAAAACCACTCTAGCCTCTGTGACTTTTTAAAGATACTACTTTTAAAAATAATAAATAAAAGACACAGCCTTTTAATGTTTTTGCCTCATTCTCTGCTGGAAATAATAAAAATAGTCTTTGGCCAGAGGAAAAATAACATGCAGAGGAAGAAGGATCAAACCACTGGCTTGGCTGATACTCCGGGTGCTGATCTCCCAAGCAAAGCCTGCTCCCTGCCCCCGTCATGCAGCTTGGAGTTGGGGCGGGTGATCCTCAGGGAGAAGAAAGAGAGAATTCCCCTAGGAGAAACTCAAAACATCCTTTACAGCTGCTGGAACTGAGGTCTCAGCCAACCCCAGAATATAGCCTGGCTTTTGTCTCAAATTCTACAAACACTTCTAACAGGCAAGCAGAAGCCAGTGATCCCAGAGCTTGGGAGGCCGAGGCATGAGGATCACTGCCTAGTGAGTCCAAGAGCAGCCCAAACTGCACCCTGAAACCCTGTCTCATAAAGCCAAGCCAAAACAAAACAAAACAAAACAGATGACTTGATTAAATGTCAGAGGCATCTTCGGGCCACCAGATGCAGGTGTCCACGGCAGCTTCCAGGTCCTTACAAGTGACCATGAGGTCACTCCGGTGATGGCCGAGTCAGGAATACCTCTGAAGAGTCAAACCCACACCTGAAACCCCACCCCAGATGCTGCCCAGCCAGCACCACCTGCTACACGTCCCAAGCTCACTTCTACCCCTCCATGGGCCATGGGACAGCGGGACAGGACCTGTCCATGTGGAACCCTCAACTCAGGTGGGTTGAGGGCCCCTGGTAGCCAGTGCCTGATGTGGCCTGGTCCCTCCATTTCTGGGTCTGGGATCCCCCCCACTCAGCGTGTGTGCCCTGGGCTTCTACCCGGAGCACACACAGTGTCTGTACACAGCCTGCTGTGGCCCTTCCCACCTTCCCCTTACCCATGGGGCATCAAGTGACATGGAGGGGCAGCCATGGGGAGGGCACTGGGGTTGTCAGGAGCGAATAACTTCTTTCACGCAGAGGTTATGGAGGAGGGAGCCTGAGAGGTGACAGGCACACATACAGGGACAGTACGGAAGCTGTGCCAGGACAGAAACCAAGGAGTCACTAGAAGCTGGAGGGAGGCCGGGTGGGGCCGGCCCACACCCTGACCCTGCCTTCCACCTGCAGACCCTGGTGCCTTCTGCAGTACCCCAGTTAGAGGCCAGTTGGAGGTCGCTCCCTGCAGTAGTAGCCGGAAACAGACAAGTTGTGCCCAGAGCAGGAAGTGCCCTCCTGGGGAGCCCCACCCCAGGGACCTCCAGAGGGGTGCCAGGAGGGACAGCATCTCCTGCACACTGGACAGGCGTGCTGCACAGATGGACACTGGCCACACCACCCTTGTGCTTCTTGGGGCCTATCTGGCATGCAACCCCCCATCTCTCCACAGTCCCTGCAAGATCCTTTCAAGATCTTGTGGTCCCCATCAGTAGGCGTGGTGGCACTCACCTGTAATCCCAGCACTTGGGAGGCTGAGGAAGGAGATTACCATGAGTTCAAGCCTAGCCTGGGCTAGACAGTGTGTTCACGGCCAGCCTGAGACCCTGTCTCAGAAAACAAAAAACAAAACTCCTGGCCCCCACACTGGACCTGATGTCTTCTGCCTTGTCCTTCCTCCTGTTCCACCAGGGAGCCCACCCACAAGCCAGGCCTCACCCTGGGTCCCATGGGCACAGCAGAGAGGCCCGGGTGATCGGCACGCAGGGTGGAGCCCAAGCACTCTCTTGCCAAATACAAACATATGGAAAATCCCCGCCAAAGCAAGCACCTTGAGGACCGTGGGGCCCACACCCAGGGAGGGCTCTCTGTGGCATCTGCTCCCTTTGGCTGTCAGAGTCAATGCGTAATTAAGGGAGGAGACCCCGACCGCTCTGGGGGCCACACAGGACCTCGTGCCCACCAGACAGACATCGAAGATGGGGCTTGGTCTGGGATGCAGCTCAGTGGTAGAGCATTTGTCCACTCTGGTGAGGCCCTGGGTTCTACTCCAGCACTGAAAAAGAAAAGCAAAAAACCGTCTGCTCCCACCTCTGCTCCTCCTGGCTGAGGTCTCCTTTCCTTTCAGAAGATGGTGCTGCCACCTGCTGGCCAATTGTGAAACAGCCTCTTTTTAAAAAACTGTATAAAAGAAGCAGCCAGCCCCAGACCCTACAGGCAGGATGGGATCTCAGCCACCAGCCCCTGACCACAGCGAGATGTGTGCATGTATGTGGACATGTGAGCTGAAAGGCAGTGTCCACTGGAACTTTCTGTGTGTGTACAGGTGTGACCTGCCTGGTACCTGCTGAACTGTGTCCCCTGTGACTCTGGTCTTCCTTACTGTGGACAATAGAGTTAGCAGGAGGCGGGGGGCCCTGCTCTTACAGAAGAGAGACGCACAGGAGAAGACAGCTGGTGACATGGGTGGAGCTGGGTGTGGCAGACACAGCCCCAATGGCGAGGATGGCTGGCATCTGGAGCTGGGAGTGAGGGCAGTGTGGCCCCGTGGCCCGGCTCATGCTCTGGCGTGGGCTGCTGCCTGCTGGGCGGTGAGTCCCATTTCTTTCGTTCTGGATGAGCTGGTTGCTGGCACGTTGTTGCCATTACAGAGGCCACTCACTGTGTCTGGTGAGCACCGTCCCCATCCCTGGCCACTGCTCCGATCTGGGGTGTTGGGGTCACTCTCCAAACCCACCAGCGGCCGGGCATTGTGGGATGCATCCCTGTGGCAACTCCTGCCAGCATGCAGGGACCTTGCACTATCTGATCCCCCATCCCGGCCCCCTCCTGTCCTGATCTGTGTACCCCACCCTGGCAGGCCCGCTCACCTGCCCGGTACAGTCCCTCGGACACTGCTGGACCGGGGCTAGCTTTCACCAGGGCCTTTGCTCTGCAGCAGTGACCCACTGAGCCCCCAGCCTGGGCCAGCCTGGCCCTGCCTAGAGACGCCTTTTCCTGGGTGGGCAGCATGGCTGCCAAACACCAAGGTGCCTGACGCTGGCAATGCCCTTGCCTGTGCCCACTCAGTGCCCGGCTCTTTTTCCCCTGAAGTGGCCATCCTTCCCGGGCCTGGCTCCTGCTCCAGCCTAACTGCAGGGACAGGTGTCCCCACACTCATCTCCCCATCTCCTGCTGTGCTTGCCGGCCTGAACCCAGCCTCACCTTCTCCACCTGTCCTCCTGCTTCAGCACTGAAGGTCCTGGTCTCCTGTTTGCCTATGTCTCCACTTACTGATTTTCACTCCTCAAATGCTAGGGTTTCCAACTGGCTGCCTGGGGCCTGGACTCAGTGGAGTGGGGACCTGGCTGGGGCCTCCCTGAGCCTACTACTTGCTTAACCTCAGACAGCCCTGGCAGGGCTTTTGCTCCCCACCTCAGGGTGAAGATGGGAAGCAGGAAGGGCAGAAGGGGTCACAGTCAGCACTGCTGCTGTGGCACTGAGCTCCTGCTGCAGGCTCAGCCAAGATGGCTGCACAGCCACACCTGGACACCCAAAACCAGGCCTCATTACCTAGACACCGCCGAGGCCCCGGGACACCCTAGTCACTGTCCTGTACTTTATACCCTCTGCCTTCAGCGCTCACCCACTGCCTTCCCAAGACCCTGAATGGAGGTCGGCCTGTCCCGCTGTCTGAAAGGAGACTGCTCCTCCCACGACTGAGAGCAGAGGAGAAGCGCACTTACACAGGTGACAGCAGGTGAGGCAGGGGCTCCCTTTCTTCTCTGTCTATCCTGCCAGGATACCAGAGGGGCTGGAGCGCAGGCCCAGGTGGAAATCCCAGCCCAGTCCTCTGTGGATGTGATAAAGTGACACGTTCCAGGGCTGTCACTGATATGAAAGGGTGACAGGGACAGACGTTGTCTGCAATGCGTGGCCTGCACATAACTGCATCACCTGTACACACTACCCTGCCCCAGGCGATACCACGTGGCCAGCAGGTGGCCAGCACGCCCCAGGGCTGACCCGATTAGCCACAAGCTATAGGGTCACTGTCTCCACACACAAAAAACCGAGGCACAGAGAGCTGACGTGGCCAAGTCCAGCAAGGGCCAGATTCACCCTGGGAGGCCAGCTCCAGCTCCAGCTCCACACTCCCAGTTGCCATCGTGGGGGAGATTCTGCTCCAACCCCTTCCAAATTGAAGAGGGCACAGGAGAGAGGCTCAGGCGACCCCTCACGGAACCCTAATTCAGGCCACCCAGCAGGGCCTGGGCAGCAGCTAGCTGTCCCCAGCCTGGTCTCCACAGGACAGCAGTGCCGGGAGCACATTTTTACATGTGTTCCCATGATATATTGAAGCTATGTCGGTGTCTCTTGTTTATGTCAGCACCGATGTCCAAGCCGAGTCAGGAGGGGCTGAGCCCCTGCTCTGAGTCCCATACAGCGCAGCTCTGGGAGGTCCCAGGCATAGTTCTGCCTCTGCATCCTCCATGGACCAGGAGGGTCTCCCTCAGTGGGACTCTCCAACCCTGCTTCTCCTGATGGACAATGGCCTTTACAAGCCTGGGCTGCTGTGAAATGTAAAAAATTCTGGATGTAGTTATGCTATTGATGGGGGGCGTCTTGGGGAGCTGTTTCCAGGTTCTTGGTGTCCCAAAAAACTGAACCCAACACTCAGAAAGAGTAGTGAGAGTAAGATTTATAAAAAGGAGCAACAAAAGGGTCAGGGACGTAGCTCATTGGTGCGTCGCCTGTCTGGCAAGGTCCTGAGTTCGATCCCCAGTATGAGGGTGGGGGAGAGCAACAGGAGTAGGAGAAAGACTCGCGGGTCCACAGAGCTCACGGCCCAACAGGGGCAGCACTGGGTCTCTCAAGGTCTGGGGAGCATGGGAGGGTCTAGAGCAGGGGATGGACCAACCAAGCCACAGCCCAGCCATGTGCCTGATTTCACCACCCTTGCAAGGACTTTTGACTGTGCAAGTATTTAGAGGAACTGTCATGGTACCCAGAGCCCACAGGGGGTGGGTGTCAAAGCCCCACCACAAACGAAGCTGGATGCACTTACAGGTCTACACATGCCTGGGGGTCTGGGGGTAAGGAGTGACTGTTATCTGTTGGTTTTCTGATATTTTGGCACAGTCCTGCTTGCTCTGTCTGGTTTAAACACAGTAAGAGGCCTGCTCTGCAAACTTTCCCAGTACATATGGTGTGCTGGCTGTCTCACATAGCGGGACCCTCTGTGGAGTGTTTTAGAGGAAAGACCAGAATGTAACGCCGCAGTGTGCCCTAGGAAAGTGTCTTTTGGGTGCTGAGCTCTAGCCAGGTGTCAGAGAAGGTTTTCAGCGCGTGGCAGGAAGGAGGCATGGTAGGTCAGCGAAGTCACACGTGACCATCCACGTGAGGACAGTTAGCAGTCTGATCCGATGCACTGGGCTACTGAGGGTGGTGCTGGGGTCCCGGCGTCCTGAGGGCTGAGCCCGTGGGATGAGGCCCCAGAGGGAGGGCGGAGCCAGGCCCGTGAAGATCCAGAGTGGACGACTTCCCGGGAGGGGCGGACAGTGGTCTGATGGCCCCACGTGGGAGACGTGGGCAGGGCCTGGGGGCCACGCCTGGGAGGAATCCCCCCTGGGCCGGTGTGACCTTGGCAGGTGGCCGCCCCGTACCTCTGTCCCCTCCTGCCTGCTTCCTAAGGTCACCCGGAGGACTGGATGGACCGGTACTCGTCACAGCGCTGAGCCCAGAGCGAAAATCCAAGACGGCCTAAACCAGCCGTTTAACGGGGCCTGCCCCTCCGCTTGAATTCTTCTTGTCCGATTTGGGCTTAGGGGCTGCACCGATCGCCGCACTTCGCAACGCGGAGCCACTCTCGCATGTGCGCACCCAACACACACACACACACACAAGCTCACGCTGATGTCGGCACCCAGACGCTAGCACGCGCCATTCCCGCTCTTTAGAAGGTGGAAGGAGAATCGCGAAAACGAGCTTGCAAGGACACTCCACGTGCAGGGTAGAAGCCGCCGCCCAGGGGCCCAGAGGGTCTCAGTCCGGGAGCTCTGCAGCCCTAGCTCTTCAGTTGCCTCTCGCGTCTCCCTGGCAACTGTCCTCGACCCCGCCCCCTTTCTAAACCCGTAAACAGGAAATAGACCTGCGCAAAGGGCACTTCCGGCGCGGCAAGGGGCGGGAGTGATTATGAACGGCAGCAGACAAAAACCAATCATAGACAAAGGACTGGGGAAAAGCCAATCGTGAGGGGCATCAGAACTGG